GCACCGTACTTTCACTATTACATGTACTGTATTTTAAAACATCCAACTAATATACCATCACATTTGTAGAGTGTTGTTTATCCGATATACGAGTGACGTCATCTTTTCGGCATAACACCTGTTGATAGCTACCTTTGCATGTAAACATATTTATGTACTACCTTAACTCAGAAGTACTGGGTTTAAAACCCTATCAGTTACCGATTGTTTTATATCCGGTTGGGGTAATACTTCAAAAATGGTAGTGCAATATATCCCCACCAAATTAATCAGCTTTAATGTAATGCCATATATCAGAACAAGTTTATTGTAAAATCTGAAGTTTGTTTAGTTAGAACACCGGAGCACTAGTGTGTATGACATTTTATTTCTATGGTTTGTAGCCTTCTTTTTGTGATTGGATGAATTATTGTTCTGAATAACTGAAACGACAAGAAACAAAACATGACCTCTATAAAACATTTGAAGGATGAGTAATTTACCAAGTTAATTTCATACCTTACTTAACTAGTTTAATCAATGGCAATTTTCAAAGACTCACCTTCTGACTGTGGAATACTATCCACTTGAAACTAACTAACTGACACTGGGATTCACTTAATGTTTCACTACAACAGACTACATTAATGTATTAAAACACTGATCATACTTATTAACTGTGTCTTCACTACTACCTGTTATCAAAACAGATTACACTAATGTAGTAAAATATGAGAACTGTATACATCTTTCACTATTACACCATCACATTTGTTGAGTATACCCTACAATAAGTTCATCTTACAACTGAGATCTGTGAGGCTCTTATCAGAGTGCGTTTTCCTTTCTGACGTAACAGGAAGTATTATTTTGTTGAATTATTTAACTTACAGTTACTTTTCAACGGATCAATAAACACATTTTACGTAACTTATGCACTACCTCACAACCAGGTCCTTGTTTACTCATCACTGAGTACCTTGCATACCTATTTCTATCCCATTTATTATTCTGTATATCTAGATTGTTTATTCATTCCATCACCCTGTTGAGACACCTATTGCCTACATTAAAACCTTTTATAATCAACGCTCTTAAGCGGGTAAATAATTTACTAACCATATTTAACTAGGTATAATCCTGTCTCTTTCACTTTGTCCTCGATGATGGGTAACCTGTAAACTAGCCTTTACTGTAGATATTTAACGAGGATTTACTTGTTTCTTTGAAACCTAAAGGCTTTATGCCTCTGAAATTACAACCATTTCATCGTTCAAAGTAAATAGTACACTTACAGTAAATGTTTCTGTAGTTAAAGGTGTATTTTAATGACCAAGAAATGGGAAAAGTAACCACTGACAACCTCTAGTTGGTAATGCCTAACAAACCTATGGCATATATGCGTTAGACAATATAACTAATGCATGTGTTGAAAAAGGTTCCAGACAGACTCAAAGAAATAACCATAAAATAAGACAATAGTTAAATTGCCTTTGTCCACTGGTTGAGTATCCCTTTACATGAAATTGATTAATTATATCAACAGTACTTGAACTTATGAGCAGGTAGACATGTACACAAAAAGTAACATTAATGAAAATAGCTGTGTGGAGGTAGGCCTAATTTAGGGATATTTAGATGTGTGTTGTGAATAATATGGGTTGGGATGTGAAACCGGTACTGTATTGAGTGAGAAATCAAATTCTAGCCCACATTTAATAAAAGGTACAATGGTGACGTTATCACTGATACCCAGAGTGTTATCCTGTGATAGTAATATTAAACAGTACAGCTGTCTATGAGAACACCCTACCAAGGATTTATGAGTGTAATGTGTAGGTACAAAGCCCCCTGATTGACCCTCAAGTGATTGACTTCCGTTGAAAAACAGATATTCTTGACAACGGTACATCTTGATGTAACAGACGTTGAAACCTTAGTTATATTAAATAACAACTAAATCGGACCGGGTAAGGTAAATTAACCCATTATCATGGGCAAACCACAACAGCTAGTAAAATATTAACATATGTTGAAAGGTAGATATGTTTTAATTCTGATAAAAAATATCAAATACACTCTGCCGTTATACTGCAAGATCTATGTTATTCATACAGTAGAACCTCCGTAACTCCATAATCCGAACACCCACTAATTTGAATGCCCCGTTGTTGTTTACAATACAGCAGTTCTTTCCATACTGTATGTCACCATAACAAACAGGCAATTATTTTAAAATACAAAATATTAGAGTGTGATTTCTACCATGTACTACAATTTAAATCAACCCGAAAACATACTACACAGAGCTATAACACATGTTTGAAGGCTAAAATCAGTGTAGACAAAGATAGTTCGAGAATCACATGCGTTTGGAGGTAATTTTGATAGTGGTTAAGCTTATTTCCTGTATATAATTGCTATTGTCGTACAGACCTTAAACTACATTACTCTCTTATTGTGTAACCGAACACGTTTTCTATACGTAAAGTCAAATATTTATACATGCTTTGATAGTTAATTCATAAACCTACATTTAAACCACCGATCACCAATAACATATAACTGTAGTACAACAACGAGCTCGCTATGATAGCTAAATCTTGAAGATTTCTCTGGAAACTTGTATATGCATAATAATAATAATATGTAAGTTAGTATAGTCATCACAAAAACGTCGACTCCTACGGCCATGAAAACGTAGTCTTCTGCGCTCGCGAAAATGTCATTATCGTCTTGTGCAATAGCAGAGTCCAGTCTTTGGAGACATGTGTTTTATTAACTAAAATCTAGTTATTCGGCATTTTCACTAAGCCCTTTATTTGCCCCGAGTCCGATTAAATATGTTTGTTTTAGTCAAGAACCTTTACGAATGTAATGTAGTCTACGTTTATTGATAAATGGGTGGGTTTCTATTACTTTTAACCCATTTACCATAAGGGTTGTGAAGCCTATCGTAAACACATTCTCCTATAGCATTTTGTACCGAATGTTCAAAGTATTGAAAACGGCTATTTGCTATGAATGTATTATAGCTATAGTCTACGACTCTTTTAAGTTGACACTGTGTTGAAAAATACTTAATGTTAAGCAATAGTTTTAACGGAGATGTCTTTTAGATTGATATGTATTCTATGAAATAGGTACACTTGAAGTCCTATGTAAAGCTCCTTTTACTATTATCGAGGTTCTAATATACTTTGAATAAATAAAAAAGCCTCTTTTACAACACAAAAACTACTGATATTCAACGTATACTCTAAAGATGTAAAAAGAACTGCTTATCAAATGATAACTTTCAATTATATTACCCGATGTGAATGAAAAGCAGTGCATTTACCTCAATTGTTAGCCATATGGTATCTAGTCATGCTAAATCTTTCATAATGGTACCTACTACTATTGAGGACTATCTAGCTACACTCCTCCAAATCGAAATGTAATGACCAAACTACGTCCATGATACGTTTGGCTACGTAATAATTGTACGATAAGACACCAATTACTATATGTCAGATGTACCTTCCAGTTTAGTGTTTCTGGTTCGTACTTATGTTTGTTATGACTAATAGTATAATTACTGTGTAGGCTTACTTTGTTATACATTCACAGACATATGATCTCTACCATACTCTTAATCCCAAAAACAAAACTGTAAATGTTTACCAATACTTTGGCGTAGTTATGACAGTATAATGACTATTATAGTTATGATTTATACTGCTAATAAGACTCATCTTACACTCATTTCCAAAGGTTTAAAATACCTACGTTTGTATGGTCCCTATCTCAACATAATGTCACTAGAAAAGTAACCGTGAAATACACTTTACATCAATTCTAGTTTAACATCTAGAAGTGGAGGAGAGTACCATAATTGAGGGCGTGAAAGGTATCACGTGTATGTTGGTTTTATAGGTTTATTTACGAATGAACTGGGATATGTTGGTCAATACGCTACATTATACCTATAACCTCTGGCTAGTATGTTTGCTGAGGTGTCAAGGGTGTTGTGCTAACTTACGAGTCTTTGAAATTGTTTTGTGTTGGTTTTATTCCTGTATGTTTATATATCAAGCTTATTAATGTAGAGCTTACCCTACCCGATGGTGTTCATCTTATTTGGCTTGGGTTGGAGCTGATGGTAACAGCGAATTAAACAAAAACTATGTATATTATGGCGATGTGCCGCTTTATCCTCTTTGGATTATGTCTCAATGTAAAAAAACCTGATGCCTGCAGTTTCCGAACGTGATAAGCTCAAAAGGCCTTTTGTATACAAGAGCTAACATATGGGGATGATATGTAAAATTATCAGTACTAGATGGATTTTTACTGTATTCAGTTTATATTCGAACAAGTTACTACAACAACGGTAAGAAAACTGTCGGTTTTACTTAATGCCAATACATATACCGTTTTGACATACTGCAGCAAAAACAGCCAATTTGAACGGTTATTTGTGTTTTCTAAGCTGTTGATACATGTTGTCTAAACATGCATGTTAGCATTTGTTTGTACGGAATTGACCCAATGAAAAAATACATTTAGAAATTAACTCACACTAGAAAATTAACCAAGGATTATGACATCCACCTACCTACGTTGGTCAAAGCTATCACTACGTTACATCGCATTACAACCATAACTAATTTGCTACACGAGTATGAAGTTACATATGGCTTTATAATCAAGAGAACCCATTCTTATTTCCTACATACTATTTTTTATGTTTGGAAGTTGATAGATTTATTTTCTTTCATTTGTGTTGTCGTAAGGTACTATTTTAGCTAATGAGTAAAATAACGAATGTTTTTATGTTAAGTAGCATTTTAAATGCATGGACAAGTAGTCTTGCTTTAGACATCTCTCCTTTTTTATTCCTCAGGCCAAGTACTATTAAGGTTTCCGAACCCAGGGTTATGTCAAAACTATTATGTAGCAGATTAAAAATAGTAATTGGCGGGAGTTGACCCCAGGGGCTGAAGTTACATGGTTTTCATTTTAAGTTACTACAGACGATGGTGCTGCCTCCGATGGTAAATTGCATCAATTTGCAACAACATTGCAGATCAATCAATCAATCAACACCGAAGTTACATAGTTTTCATGTAAGGTGCAGGTGAGGTTGCAGATCAATCCCCGAAAATCGATAGTTTCAATCTGCTGTATAATAGTATTGGCATAACAAAGGGGTTTAGAAACCTCTATAGTCCACTTATACTGAGGGACAAAACAGAAGAGATGTCTAAGCAGGGCTATTTGTTGTTGTAATTTAGATGTCACTTAACATAAAGCCGTACGTTAATTGATATTTTACTCATTATCTTCATCGTCTACTAAAAAGTACCTATAATACCTAACTCCTACACATTAAAAAAAATACATTTATCTCCCAGAGACTATTTTGCAAACTGTTTAATTGATCTTTCCCTAACTCTGGACTTAGAAACCTTTCGAAAATGAAACATATGTTGTCACCAACAGACTTTAGGGGTGTTGAAAGATGTTTTACCGTCGTCTTGGACTATTCTCTCATATCTAAATGATATTTCCCTAGTTGTGTATAGTAATAATCTACTATATCTGTTGGTAGACACGTTCCTCACAGCTGTCATTCATACGATCGTCTTCTAAACTAGTCGTACACATATAAAAGACTCACTTCAGCCTTGCAAATATGTTACACTACAGGTACCGTAAAGCTATAATATCTGCCACCGGTGTCAATAGCTCTACCGTCGTCTGCTTATGGTATTTATGCAGTTTATGGTGTTGTCATCATAATTCCTAGTTTCACCGCTAGAATTACTGTTTTGGTGTCTCCGGTTGTAGTGTAGTTAGACGTTTTACCATCGGAGGCATGCACCATCGCCTGTAGTAACTTAAAATGAAAACCATGTAACTTCAGCCCCTGGGGTCAACTCCCGCCAATTACTATTTTTAATCTGCTACATAATAGTTTTGACATAACCCTGGGTTCGGAAACCTTAATAGTACTTGGCCTGAGGAATAAAAAAGGAGAGATGTCTAAAGCAAGACTACTTGTCCATGCATTTAAAATGCTACTTAACATAAAAACATTCGTTATTTTACTCATTAAGCTAAAATAGTACCTTACGACAACACAAATGAAAGAAAATAAATCTATCAACTTCCAAACATAAAAAATAGTATGTAGGAAATAAGAATGGGTTCTCTTGATTATAAAGCCATATGTAACTTCATACTCGTGTAGCAAATTAGTTATGGTTGTAATGCGATGTAACGTAGTGATAGCTTTGACCAACGTAGGTAGGTGGATGTCATAATCCTTGGTTAATTTTCTAGTGTGAGTTAATTTCTAAATGTATTTTTTCATTGGGTCAATTCCGTACAAACAAATGCTAACATGCATGTTTAGACAACATGTATCAACAGCTTAGAAAACACAAATAACCGTTCAAATTGGCTGTTTTTGCTGCAGTATGTCAAAACGGTATATGTATTGGCATTAAGTAAAACCGACAGTTTTCTTACCGTTGTTGTAGTAACTTGTTCGAATATAAACTGAATACAGTAAAAATCCATCTAGTACTGATAATTTTACATATCATCCCCATATGTTAGCTCTTGTATACAAAAGGCCTTTTGAGCTTATCACGTTCGGAAACTGCAGGCATCAGGTTTTTTTACATTGAGACATAATCCAAAGAGGATAAAGCGGCACATCGCCATAATATACATAGTTTTTGTTTAATTCGCTGTTACCATCAGCTCCAACCCAAGCCAAATAAGATGAACACCATCGGGTAAGCTCTACATTAATAAGCTTGATATATAAACATACAGGAATAAAACCAACACAAAACAATTTCAAAGACTCGTAAGTTAGAATTGATGTAAAGTGTATTTCACGGTTACTTTTCTAGTGACATTATGTTGAGATAGGGACCATACAAACGTAGGTATTTTAAACCTTTGGAGATGAGTGTAAGATGAGTCTTATTAGCAGTATAAATCATAACTATAATAGTCATTATACTGTCATAACTACGCCAAAGTATTGGTAAACATTTACAGTTTTGTTTTTGGGATTAAGAGTATGGTAGAGATCATATGTCTGTGAATGTATAACAAAGTAAGCCTACACAGTAATTATACTATTAGTCATAACAAACATAAGTACGAACCAGAAACACTAAACTGGAAGGTACATCTGACATATAGTAATTGGTGTCTTATCGTACAATTATTACGTAGCCAAACGTATCATGGACGTAGTTTGGTCATTACATTTCGATTTGGAGGAGTGTAGCTAGATAGTCCTCAATAGTAGTAGGTACCATTATGAAAGATTTAGCATGACTAGATACCATATGGCTAACAATTGAGGTAAATGCACTGCTTTTCATTCACATCGGGTAATATTATTGAAAGTTATCATTTGATAAGCAGTTCTTTTTACATCTTTAGAGTATACGTTGAATATCAGTAGTTTTTGTGTTGTAAAAGAGGCTTTTTTATTTATTCAAAGTATATTAGAACCTCGATAACAGTAAAAGGAGCTTTACATAGGACTTCAAGTGTACCTATTTCATAGAATACATATCAATCTAAAAGACATCTCCGTTAAAACTATTGCTTAACATTAAGTATTTTTCAACACAGTGTCAACTTAAAAGAGTCATAGACTATAGCTATAATACATTCATAGCAAATAGCCGTTTTCAATACTTTGAACATTCGGTACAAAATGCTATAGGAGAATGTGTTTACGATAGGCTTCACAACCCTTATGGTAAATGGGTTAAAAGTAATAGAAACCCACCCATTTATCAATAAACGTGGACTACATTACATTCGTAAAGGTTCTTGACTAAAACAAACATATTTAATCGGACTCGGGGCAAATAAAGGGCTTAGTGAAAATGCCGAATAACTAGATTTTAGTTAATAAAACAAATGTCTCCAAAGACTGGACTCTGCTATTGCACAAGACGATATTGACATTTTCGCGAGCGCAGAAGACTACGTTTTCATGGCCGTAGGAGTCGACGTTTTTGTGATGACTATACTAACTTACATATTATTATTATTATGCATATACAAGTTTCCAGAGAAATCTTCAAGATTTAGCTATCATAGCGAGCTCGTTGTTGTACTACAGTTATATGTTATTGGTGATCGGTGGTTTAAATGTAGGTTTATGAATTAACTATCAAAGCATGTATAAATATTTGACTTTACGTATAGAAAACGTGTTCGGTTACACAATAAGAGAGTAATGTAGTTTAAGGACTGTACGACAATAGCAATTATATACAGGAAATAAGCTTAACCACTATCAAAATTACCTCCAAACGCATGTGATTCTCGAACTATCTTTGTCTACACTGATTTTAGCCTTCAAACATGTGTTATAGCTCTGTGTAGTATGTTTTCGGGTTGATTTAAATTGTAGTACATGGTAGAAATCACACTCTAATATTTTGTATTTTAAAATAATTGCCTGTTTGTTATGGTGACATACAGTATGGAAAGAACTGCTGTATTGTAAACAACAACGGGGCATTCAAATTAGTGGGTGTTCGGATTATGGAGTTACGGAGGTTCTACTGTATGAATAACATAGATCTTGCAGTATAACGGCAGAGTGTATTTGATATTTTTTATCAGAATTAAAACATATCTACCTTTCAACATATGTTAATATTTTACTAGCTGTTGTGGTTTG